TGAGGGCAACTGGTACATTTAGTTGAGGGCAACTGGTGCATTTTTCTCTAGGTAGTTTGAGGGGAATTGGTATAAAAAAAGGTACTTTTTGGGGGCAACTGGTACATGSCCTAAAATATTTAATCAAACCAAAACAATTTGAACTTGGGTATTCATAAAAAGTTAATACATGAAGTCAATAGATGTTGTACAGACTTTTATAGACCCATATTGCCCACAGAAATTCTTATAATATTGGTATAACACCGTTGGACAAGAGAAAACAAATATAGTTAAATTTGGATGCGATGACAAAGGCAAAAAACAATTTGGAATAAACAAATTACTGAAATCAGTTACCTAGTTTAACTATGAATAAAAAAAATATATTTTTAATTTTAATTTTAGTAGTTATAAAATAGGTTTTTAATTTTCATATAATATGTTTATTATAGTTTAATCTTTTCGAGGGAGAAAATATGTCCTTATGTCGGATCGCGTTGATTCATAGACCCGTCATAGTTTGCGCAAACTACATTAAATACTATTAAATTAATTAATAAAAGACAATTAAATTGTACTTCAGTTATTATTGTCAAAATGAAACAATTATAATAAAGGTACAATTGGTTTTTCTTTTTCTTTAATCATAGATTTGTACAAGGAAAATTAATAAATAAATAATTTAAATATTTATATACACAACGATTATTTTAAATTATATCTGATCGCCCATAGATTATGTATTTTGAACACGCTATAAAGARAGGAACTCAGAAATCATCGTCTGATTTTGTTCTTGTTACAGCCCGTGCCGAGTTGTTGGTAAGCGATCGAAAATCCAATGTCCCTTTCTTTAACGGTTACACTGTCCGTATGGAATCTGATTATGATTGGTCCGGACGCATAAGCTGAAACGTGAAAATTGTATTTTTAAAACCGTCATTTWCCGAGTTCCCATCGATTCACGACTGTAGTAAATTATACCTACAATAATATTGTAGTACATACAACGTTGATTTAGCAAACTGTTTAGTCGCTTTCGTTTTTGCGGTAGGTATTTCGAAAAACTTTTCTTCGAAAAACTGTTATATTCACATACCTAACTGGTGTTTACAACTTTATTGTTAGTGTTCCTCCACGTTTTACCCGGAAATACTTGTTTATTATATATTTATATATCAGCTAGGTTACTATGTATTTTATCATACTTATTATAGTATATTACGTATACTTATACTACATATACTGTATAATGTCTTCTGTTTATAGACTTATAGTGTATGTGCTACAACTTTTTTTCTAAAGTTTTATTTAGGTAAAGCATTCATATAATTTATATTTTATTATAAATGTAAACCATTACTGTATAAACAACTTGGTATACAATAAGATCGTATTTATTAGACATTTTATAAAGCTTGTCATTAATACAATAATACAATAATTYATTACAATAATGAATTAATATAAAATATAAATATAAAATTTATGTAGTGTCATCTGCTATTCRACAGTAATCAAAACATTGCGTTACTTTAGTATTATTTGATATTTTTAATTATTTTGTTTTAATCAGAATACTTTAAGGTTTAGCTACATGGCATAGTGATATATTATGCTATATTTAATAATTTTGACATTAACTGCAAGCACATCCTTGTTCAGATTTCCCTTTCCTAGATCGATGAGCTGATGATGATTATAAAACTAAGTTTTAATTTTTTATTGAATAATTTAGTAAAATTATATTTATGAGTTTGTCCTCCCTCTCCCCGTAAGTTAGGTGCTTTTGAAAAATAAAAGATCGAGTAGGTACTTACTTGTCACCGGCGTCGCGATCGTGTTGTTGTCCTGTGCGCCTAGCGGATCGTTTACTTTGATTTTTTCCGCAAACTCCTGAATGGCGAGGCCGGACAAACTTCGTCCGCAGAATTTTTCCGCCGTTGGCGTATATACCTCCACGTTTCCTGTAGCCGCTAATATTTCCTCGCCTATGTCCAACATACCTCCGGGAATATGTAAGTAGTCATGTGAAACGAGATCGCAACTCACTTCACCCGCCCGTCCGACGCCTTCTTCGAGTGACGGACCTGCACCAAACAAGCATAATAATATATTACACGTTTATTACACGTTTAGGTTAGGTTTATTAAACCTAACCAACGTGAAATTTCGTACATAAACTAGCTTATATACTGTAGGATTATAAACACGCAATATAAATATGTTAGTTTTTATGAGTTTTAAATTATTTTGTACATCAACAACGGTATACACATTGATTCACCCAGGGCGATAAATCTTTTTTTTCAATAATGATGCAGTCATTTAAAATCTCAACATTATTAAATTTAGTTAAAGACCAAATGTTAAATACTTTCATTCTTGATATTTTTTACACTATTTAAGGCGAGTGTCCCGTGGAAAAACAAATTTCTGTTTTAAATACATTTTTTAAATAATTTTTCGAATATTTCCGAAAATGTTCACGAACCAAATTCTAAATTCGAACGAGAATTCTTAGAGTTATTTAACTTTGTGTATTAACGATAATACAGTAATAGGTCCATAAATATGAGTTTGGTATATGCGGGGCTACAGCCGAGAGCCTTGGGGGTTATGTTGATTTTAATATTTTAGTACCTTATTAATAATTATTAATATTAATCTATCAACATTTACGAGTATAGTTTGTAAAAAGGTTCAAATATAAGAAATATYATCTTCCAATATAATATACATATTTTATAACTCTGTAAAACTATTTTTTAAAACTGTTATCCTTAGCATGATACTAATTCGAATTTTGAATTAAGAACAACGAAATATTGTTTAAAATGATTATCCACAAAATAACTTTTATTATTTATTTTTACATAATTATACGATCTATACAGTTAAGCACAATAAGTATTATGTAAGATAAGGATTATAAACATTAATGCGGTTACGTGAATAGGGAGCCACTTAACTTGGAAGAATTGTTATTAGATGATTAATTTAAATGACTTCTATTTATATACCATTTTCCTACAAAATAATTTACAGTAAAAAAGAAGGGTTCYAATTTGAAAAACAAATATTAGTTTCGCTACACAACACTCTTTTAGTACTTTAGTAGTAAAAAAAAATTTCAAGAAATAATAATGGTCTTTATTAAGTACCTACCTATATTTAAAAATTAAAAAAAATCAAAATTTGAATATAAAAGGAAAAAATGATGGTGAGAATGTTTGGTGAATCATCCTGTATACCTACTCTAACTTATAAATTATAATTTATACAAATTTAAAAAACGATATTACTTATATTAAAATGTCGGTTAATATATATTTATTTTTAGTTTAGACGCTTGGATATTAAGTCAGATTGCACCCTAACCGTTGTTTGTCTTGGGCCTTGTTTTTTTCGTAGGCCAAGGCATTGTACCTTTATAGTTCCTTAGTGGTATATAATGTTTAATTGAGCTCGAAAGTCGAAACTCAGCAATGCTTTATCATTTACGATTAATGATCATATTATTATGCTTGTGCATGTAGCATGATATATTAATATGCAATATGTACATATTTCATAACCATTATATAATTGTATAATATATTCTGTTGTAGCAACACTTATTTCACTTATTCCTAGTGTCTATATACTAACAGCTAGTGTATAGCTACATAATACGTTTGAAGAGAATGAAAAAGTTGGATGTTTGGTCGCCAGCTCACCACAGAGCGAAAATAAAAAGTTAATAGTTTATTAAACACAGTAAATGCAGTGAAAATAGTTTATTTGTTACCCTGCAGTGTCGTGGGAAGCACACTGCACTTACTTCTCGAAAGTTGCGAATTTTTCGAACCTCTTATATAATATATACATGTATAGCAGTATAGCTGTATAATATATAGTACATGCGGTTGCACTGATTGCAGTCAAATAGTCAATCCATTATATGGTTATATAATGTATACATATAGTAGTGTGCGTTCCTTAGTATATTCGACGAGAGAAATCGGTATGAACGTGTGTGGGTGATTATTTACTATATCTATAGTGGTTTTATGCCACAAAAATAAAAATCCAATACACAGACGAATACAAGCTGGTAACAACCAAATAACCCTATCGGAAATATCTTATAGTATCGTTTCCACATTTCTAAAAGTCTAGACGGACAACCAGACATCATTTATGCTATAATTATATACACACGCGCGTCATACATCTCCGAGATTATTATAATAGAGTAGGTAGTATAGACACGAACTATATGTGTCGATAACTATGTATCTTACAATATTTTGGGTTTTTATAACTAGGCCAAATGAAATATTGTTAACTATAATTCGTTTCTGAATAGTACTTGCTATTTATTGCCTATACATAAAAGTTATAACATTATGTTTTGTATTGTATATAGTAATAGGCCACACAGCATTAATTATGTGATAAACTTAATAGGATAGATTTCGATCAAAACCAGTATTGAAAGACAGATATAGCCAATATTAATTAATGATGAACGTAAAAGATAATTTTAGATGTCATTTTTCCACGATGGAATACTCTTTGTGAACTGACTGAACTGTAAATATTATTATGTAGTGAACATTGAACACATATTACAAAGGTTTAAAATTATTCATACTGTTTCTCATGCCAGATCGAGTTTGTACCTGAGAAAATGTAATATACCTATACTTGAATTAAATCTAATAAATTTGGAGTGAAAATTATGAACATTAAAAAATTACTTTGTATGGYACGAAAGTCGCTAATATTAACGATGCACAGGAACAAATTACATTTTACACAATATATTGCAAAAAGAATAAAACGATCCATATCCATTAATTATTACCACTGAAAARCCACAACGAGTTAAGAATGTTGCTAAGTTTTCAACAATTATTTAACGTAGTTCATTTACATGGATTAAATTTAGTTTTTAATCCAAGGTTTATACGAAAATTATCGTTAACGAGAACATACGAATAAACGACACCTGCAATATGGTATTTTATCATTTTTTATTAATATGTGTATATTATACCATACTTATTATTATAATACGGAGCGATTCCGGTTCACAATTACCTACTATCTATCATATATAAGATACATAGTAAATAATAATATGTTTTTTCATGTACTGACCTTCCATAGAGTTTATACCGAACGTAGAGCCGGGCACCTGCTGGAATTCGACCCGACAAGTGTTCACCGACCGTTTGATGCACACCGCATAGTCAAGTCCTGATTGGTACATACCGCCTGCGTAGTTGAAGCTCTGTATGGTGCCGCTGAGGCTGGTATGGTATTGTAGACATCCGGTAGGCGCTACAGTACAAACGGGCACAGGAAGGTAAAGGTAGTATATTATATTTTAATTTTCTCTAGAGATCTCAGACGTGATGATAGCACTGAGAGAGAGGGTTACATTAATATTATTGTAAAATGTGAATGATATATTAAATAAGTATACAATAGATAAAAATTGTAAACTATGATACCTACTACATAGGTATATAATATTAAATATAGTATTATATAATTATGCATAATTCGTGGTAAGATCAGCATATCAAACTAATACTTTGAAACGAATAATAATTGTTCATGCCATGTGGATAAGCTACATATCATAATATGTATAGATATAGTGTAGGTACATCTAATAAATGTAAAAATATTATAATATTGAAACTCTCTTATATTATATCAATTAAATTTTGTGGTACCTATATAATTATTATTTGGCCTTTTTTTATGTTATGTTCAAAATTTATTTCAGAGTTTAACGATGTTTTCGATTGTATAATACATAATATATCATACAATTTACATAATAATATACCTATTAATTTTACTGCATCTGTGAACTCTTTGCTATATAGCATGTATAAACGTGTACATAGTGCTTACAAAGTTACAAAGTTTAATATCTAATTTAAATACTTATATAGTTAAATCGATTGAATAAACATTAACTTACCGACAGACTGAGGATCGGCAAGGCAGTCGATTTGGGTAATACGCACCTTCCACGAATATCTTGAAGACTGTGACGTCATCATCATGAGTGCTACGGATGAGCCACCAGCTTTAGGATCAACCGGGAAATATACTGGAAACAAAAAATATGTAAAATATTATAATCACAACAAWACATGAAATCATTTTTAGGATGTCATTTATCTTCAGCAAATGGCCCATAATTTAYTCAAGCATCTATCGTTTAGGCAATAAATCGTTTGAATGAATTCATAATTAACATGGTATCAGCGCACTATTTGTCTTCTTCCTCTGAACCACGCGCAACAGCAAATTTTGGTTAAACAGAGACAAATAATTGTTTGTTGTTAGCTTTATGTCTTTATATTAACCTGAATTATTGACCTAATATCAAATTTAAATTTAAGAAAATTATTTGTATTTATATTTTGTTATACTTGGCATTTTATGATACTATTTTACGGAAATACACGAAAATTATACATCAACACTATATAACATTTATATGAATTATGCCCAAGAAACATTTTGAACCATATCTACCAGTTATTAAAACTAACTGCAAAGAATTCTAAGCGGCTAAAAACATCTAAACATTTAAATTTGAAAAAAATGTATTAGGCACATACCTATAGAGTATCCATATAAATTTCAACCAAACGACATAACTAATAAACTCGTCCAAATKACATCTATATGTTACCGTAAAATATGCCCGATCACTTGGTAAACCTAGGTTTTACTAGAGAATGCTAGGTTTTACTGTTTGTACTCAGTAAATGCTGAAATTCTTAATTTTATTCGGACTTTTACTAAACACGTTGTGTGCTTACATCCTAGGATATACAAATTGACTTAGTAAATGCTGATCAATACACGACACATACCATTTAAGCGATAAKCTGCGTAAAAATTATAATTATATATATTATTAAAACAAACTAGGTACTGGCAGTTATTTATATTTTTATATAAAATAAAAATGCATTTAAAAACAGA